ATAAAAATTAAAAAAAAATCAAATGGGGAAAGGAATAGGAGTTTGGGGAGGTAGTGACATCTTCATCTTTTTTGGGTGTATGCTTCAGGGGATTGAACCCAGAGCCTTGTGCATGGAAGGCAAGCACCCTACCAACTRGGCTATGTCCCCAGCTCAGAGAACATGTCTTTCAAGTAAAGCCTGGAGGAAGTGAGAAAGGAAGCTATGCAGTCACCAAGATACAACCATCGGGCAGAGGGACCAGTTGGAGTGGAGGCTCTGAGGCAGKGATGGGCCTCACTGGCAGGACTGAGGATTGGCCTGGAGTCCTGTGCCAGTCGAGAGAGGAGGGCAAGAGGAGCAGGAGATGAGACGTAGGGAGGGGAGGGGAGCTTGGCCTCTGAGGTGGAAGTTGCTAGAGGGTTGGCACAGGAGTGACACAATGTGACTTACATATTAATAGGAMTCTTGCTGAGGGATTAACTTCCCCTTTAGTGTCCCAGATCCCTTTGGCAGCCCCAAGGACCATTTTTCAGATAGTGTTTTTAAATGCAAAACATGAAAGCCACAGAATATAAAGCAATCTAATTGTATTGAGATGCATTGTCAAAATAGTCAATCCAGTTTATGATTGAGCAGTGTGCATGCTTCTTTATTATTTCATTAAATAAGATCCAGCGGTAGGTCAGTAGAGGAGGCTAGGGCTGGGTCTTGGGCCTCCAAGGGTGCCCATTTGCCTGCCTGTTTCCCATCTACAGCTCCAACCAGGACAGTTCCTTCCTGGGACCAGTGGAATGGTGGGTCATTTGGGCCAGTGACGCAGAGCCCTCTCACCTCTCAGGGGTGACCAGGCTGGGRTCAGTGGCTGTGTGGTGTACACACRTCTTTGAACACCTTGGACTCCTTACTGTGGGTCCAAAGTCACACCACTTATAAGTGGTGTAACTTTGAGATTGCAGTAATGAATGACAGGATAGAGAATTATCTTGAAACGTCCACTCCTGCAAATTTGTGGTTACTACTAATACTACCCTGGACCAGGCCCACAGGTTTTTAAAAAATATTTTATTTATTTATATGTGGTGCTGAGACTCGAACCCAGGGCCTCACACATGCTAGGCAAGCGCTCTGCCACTGAGCCACAACGCCAGCCCCCAGGCCCACTTTTGTAATGGAAGGAATGTTCAGTTTCAGTTGGAGATTAGTGAAAATAAAGATATTTCCCCCCATGTAATTTCTAGGACCTCCTGAATTCTCTCTACAGACCACTGCTCTGTAAAGTAGTGGGATCCAAAAGTGAAGTGGGATGTTTCTGTTCTTGTCTGCATTTTCCCTCAAACCACTGGGATTCCCTGCCAGCTGTTTCAGATCCTGGAATTCCTGGTGGAATGGTGCCTACGATGGTGGCTTCTCATGTTTCAGACACCCTAGGGACCCGAGGTAACTCCAAGAGGTCTTGGTTTATCTGGTTCCTGTGGCTAAACATTTCRGGAGACTTGGGATGTTGGCAACTTGGCTCAGGCAGTCAAGACCCTTCTCCCAGAAGTACCTCTCATCCTGGCTCACAAAGGTGTGGCCAGTATAGGCAGAGCTCTCTGTAGTCTAAGAAGCAGGAGTCTAAGCATCTCTAGGTCACAGGTCTCCATCGGAGCCAAGCTCACCTCCCTTCTGCCTCCTGTACATCCCACAGGCTTTCTGGTCTGGCGTCTTGCATGTGTTCCTTCCCCTCCTTGGAGAGAACCTTCTTATCCTTACCTGTCCCCTTTACCTGATCACACCCAACCTTTTCACGCAGGGACCCTACTCTTATGCCTTTGTTCTAAGGGACAATTGACTGCCTCTGAACTATGGTGGCTCCTTCTCTGTGCCTTCCTCACGGAGATGACACACTCCACTTCACATYGCAGTTATAGATTTGCCTGTTTACCCCTCTGTCAGCCCTTATGAGCTCCCATGAGCTCTGAGGGCAAGACCCATGTTGTCTTTTGGTCTCCATCTTCCCAGGATAGTGCCTGCTGTAAAGCATCTCTGGGTGAATGAAAAAGAAAGAAGCTCATGATTTCTACACATGACCCAGGAGCACCTTGGCTGAGGATTCTGCGTCTTGCCAATCTGTAAGTTCACCTGATACCTGTCTTTCCCCACTCTCCTCCTGCTGAAATATTACCAAGGCTGCTTATGCCCTTTTACCTTTCTAGATAGAATTAACTATTTCCTAGGTATTTTATGCCACCTACTCATTTGAAGAAACTCACATGAGGTTGAGAAGGTGCACAGTAGAAAGCAAAAAACCCTCCAAATTCCATCATCCAGAGAGAATGCATCTGTATGACTTCATGGTATAATCCTATAGATATATTTTTTTTTTACTATAAAATTTCAGGCATATTTGATGATGATAGGATCATACCATCTATTGCATCATCATTATCATTACTTTTGACTTGGTATATTGTGACTGTTTCCCCCAGGTCTGCAGCCAGGGAACACAGTGGATAAGAGAATGGCTTCAAAGCATTGTTTGGATTCAATCATGAAGCCACCACTTCATAGCTATTGACCCTGGAGAGTCAGTTCACTTCTCTATTTTCCATTTACTGCATCTTTGAAGTGAGTGCAGTCAAAACAGTACTTTGTAGGAGTGTGGTGGGACTTGCATGGGTTCAGAGCAGGGAGAGGTGCTGTGCTTATGTGTACCCCATTGCGTGGCTGCCTCAAACCTACTTAACCATTCCCTTTTTGATGGACGTTTAGGTTGCCTCTGACTTTTTACTCTTATGAATAATTAATGAYGCACTGAATATCCTTGTACATACATCTTTGAACATTTGTCTGATTCGTYTCCTAAGGATACATTTGGAAATGTGAAGCAGTGGGATTTCTAGATTCACATTGCTGTAATGTCCTCGCAGGAAGGTTTCCCTGAAGTGGTTGACACTGCTATTATCACTGCATGACGTCGATTTTTCTTGTACCCTCCAAAGCTGCTGGCTTTCTATCAGTGCATCAGTGTAGTTATTTGATACATCCTTGTTCACAACATGGGGGTGAAAGAGGCTAGGGCTGGGACACAGGCCCCCAAGTACGCCTGTTTTCTGCCTTCAGCCCAAATMAAGACTGCTCCTTCCAGGGGCTGGTGGAATGGTGGCAGTCATTTGGCTACTAGGGTGACCTCAGAGCCCTGCCAGCACTTAGGGGTGACCAGACTGGGGTAAGTGGCTATGTTATGGCACTCCTCTTCCATGGGACACACCTCCCCAGGGCAGCTCCTGGCCTGATTGTAGATTGTCTTGGTGAGGTGACTCAGCAGGATGCATGCTGTTCCCCACTGTCCCCCCAGGGAGGTTGTCTAGAAACACAGAACCCTGGGGAGGGTGGTGTTTTGTTACCCAYGCTACAAGCCTTTGGGCTTTCTGGAGATGGTGTTGCAGTCACAGTCTGAATAGTAGAGAGAAATGTCATTTATATTAACCTTTCAAATACAATCTAGAGACTTTGCTCTAGAAAGCACTTACTAGCTTTCTCACTGAAAATCAGAACCTCTATAAATTTATTTTTAATCCCTGAATATATTAGACTCTGAGAAGTTTTCATTTTTTCCCCATGGGATAGATAAGAAAATCATGTTAATTTAAGGATATTAACTTAAGGTACTTCTTGAAATTTGATAGTTTTGAAAAAGTATGTAGTTCAGGGATATTCTTAGTAATCCACTGTCTGAATCAACTGGAAGGTGTTGCTTTAATCTGATTGCTTTGGATTATAGGATTTAAATTTCAGTATAATTTTTCTAGCACWGTAAACCCGATTGTGGCAGTCTGACTGAGATATTTTAATATTATTTAAGCAAAACTCTGGATGGCAATTCTCATTAGTTAAGCAAGTTAGAAGTAGGGTGGAATTTCCTCTAATTCCATTACTCTCAGGTTTTATTGAAAATTGGTCTGTGATTGATGAATAGTGGCAAGACTACCAAACTGACATGTATTTGCCTTTTCCCTGGGACATTAATGAGTTTCCACAAGACTGGAGCTCTGTCCAGGGGCTGGTGTATTCAGTAGGATCAGCACTATTGCAGAACGCTGCAGCAAGCTGCAGAGCTAAAACTATTAATGCATCACCGTATATCATTCTGGGATTGAAAATGTTAGGAAACAATTCAGACAGCCCCTCTGGGAGAAAATCAACAATAGCCTTTACACTCATGTGAAACAAGTTTTGAGTTTCTACAAAAGGTTAAACTTGCTTTTTATCTCTCCTCATTCTAAAAGTTTTGGTTGTCTGATACCATGACATGAAATGTCACGACTAAATTCTAAAGGCGCGAGTGTTGGGGGACCTTCTCCAGCCCTGATCAGCAGAGGTACTAATATGATCTGGTGTTTGAGCTTTCTGACCTTCTGGCTCCCAAGAAGTTACCTGAAGTCCTTTTGTTTTACTTATCGAGTGTTGATTCTCAACTGGGGATGATTTTGCTCCCCAAGGGACACTGGGCAATATCTGGAGACATTTTTGGTTGTTGTTATCTTGGCACCTAGTGGGTTGAGGCTAGGGATGCTGCCAACCACCCTACCTTGCCTAGGACTGCCTTCAGCAGAAGGAATCATCTGGCCCCACAAGGTCAATAGTGCTGAGGTTAAGAAGCCTCGCTCTAGAGGTATGGAAGCTCAGGAGGTATCCAGGAGGTTCTTAAAGGTGCCACTTACCTGATGGYCTCGTCATAGGTCAGGGTCAGCTCTCTAATAGGCTTTCAACTTCAGAAACTCACTTTCAGGTGTCCTAAAGTTGACCAAACTCTAGGAGATTGACTTTCATCAAAACTCACAGAAACTGTAGAAACAGACTTCTTCCCACCCTATGAAGCTCCACTCACAGATGCAACTAGTGGACTGAGTGGAAGTTTTTGTTGGTGACATAGCTCACCTGCTCCCGTTGACAGAGTGCGTGAGGACTCACACCACCAGCAGGTGCCTCCTAGAGCCTCCGGGAGTCAGAGCAAAAAGGAGGTGTTTGGGTATTTATGGATACCTGAAACTGGAGTATTGACCTTAAACTTCACTCTTGACATGGCCTCCCCCCCCCGCCCCCCGCCAGGGTGGGAGGTGTGGAATCTTCAGGATAAGATTTTTTTCTCCTTTATCTGGTGCTGGGATAGGTATTGACAACCAACATGTCTTTTTCACTTTCCTCCTGTTTCCACTGCTGCCTTTCATTATCCATATTAATTCTTTTTATTAATTACATTTAGTCTTATTGGCTTAGGGGCGAAGACTGTTTTCTTAAAGTGTGTCAAGCACCACGGTATGAGAGGGGTMATTAATATGTGGATGAGTCTTAGGACAGGCTTCTCGACTGGAGGCTTTCCCTGTCTACTGGATGGCCCTGACATGACACAGCTCAGCATATGACAGGGGGCATAAGAGGATTCTGTGCCAGTATAGAGGACACAGGCCTATGCCGCAATGTCACACGGAGTGTCTGCTTTGATCTATCAAGCACAGATTTCCTCATTTCTGGAGGACAACCTTATACCCGTGGGAACAGTGGAGGGAGTCCTTGTCACTCTTGGTGGCTGTCTGCTGTCCATTTGCTGTTCCCTGGRTACAGTTCCAAAATTGCATGTCAGGTCTCTGGGTGAGGAAAGAGTGCAACGTGCCACTTGCTCCTCACCTTTTTCCTCAGTGACGGAGGCAGTCACTTGGGGCCTTTTGAATGCGATCGTCTACCCACCAGGAAACACAGGCAGGCTGCAGGGGAAGAGTCAGCKTGACGCAGAGAGCTATTGCGAAGACAGGAATTCTGCAGAAGGCAGCAGTCCTTGGGCGAGCTTGATGTATTTTGCCAGGATCCTGCTGAATCACTCAGCAAAGTCAGAAACCTGTTAAGTGCTAAATCGCAACCAATATTCCCTTCTTTTGATCAGGTCAACGCTGATGGGGTTGGGAGGGACATAGAGAAATAGAAACACTGTTGGGTGGGATTGTCAAGCAGGGAGGGGGACATAGGTCGCATGTAAAATTTCCTTCCCCACAGCCTGCTGGCTGGGGTCATGTCTGCCCACCTCCGCCGCCCATCCTCCCCTGACCTTTCCCCAGCCACTAAGAGGGATCTTGATGTCCACGCTAATTGTAATCAGACAGACCTGCCTGATTTTGAATCCTGGTCTATACTCTAAGATGTGGAAGTGGCTCCARAGCTTCCAGTGGCTGAGGACAGAGGAGATGTGCATAAAACCATCCACGTACCTGGCATGTTGTGGGGACTGAGAGAAAGTCACRTTTAGAGGGATGCAAATTGACATAAATGCATAGTAAGAGGCATTGATTGGTGTGTCATCTTTTCTGGAAATCTGGTCTGTTTGTTTGTTTAGATAGGAATCACTCTGATAGAAAATGGGGATAAGGCATAGGAATTCTGAGTTTTGCTGGCAGGGGAGAAAAAMTGGGACAGACTGGATGTCATTCATTCATCAGGCCTTGACTGAAGGTGCCCTCAGTACCAATTTCTGTAAACAGGATACACTTGGCTACCYTCAGAGTCTGTCCTTGGGCCAGCCCTGACCTTTCTGTGGTGAGCCAGAGCAATGAGCTTCTAGCCAGTGCTGGGGAGTTCTTGAAGTACTGAAAAGCCAAAGTACTCGGCTATTTTCTTCTTTTCAGTAATTAATACAGTGATATCAAAGCTGTTTGCAGTTAATTAATTATTCCTCAGATTAATCTTACCTTCCCTTAAGACACTCTACAGCTGGAAAGGCGTCTGATAGGGAAAAAACTATATGTATGTGCTATGAATTCTTTTCAAAAGGAGTGGCATTTCTGTGTTTCATTGGAATGCAGATATCTAAGGCTGACTCAAGGAGATGTTGCTAGGAGGTCAGGAGGGGTGGACTTTAGCCTCTGAATTAATTTTATGCATCCTTGTAGACATTGCTCAACCTCCTGGACCAAAAATTCCATCTCAGAAGTTCACTTGCATGGAGCTGCATTTTGCTTCTGGATCTTTCTTCATTATGTCTTTGTTGGAGGTGAAAGTTTACTCCTATGCAGAGCAGGAATGTGCTGAAGAATTGCACAGCTCCTGTTGGGACCAACTTGGAAACTGTTCAACTTGGCTCTGGCTCCACTGCCCCCGCTTGATTTGGAGCATGAGTCCTTGTGGGGTTGGGGGCAGGTGCTACAGTGTGGTTTGTGATCTTCATGCCTTAGATAATGCCCAACAGATCCTAGAACTTATGAATGTTTGTTAATAACTGAGATAGCCAGAGGCATTTCTTTCACGTCTTTTGCTCAGAATCAATGTTTTTTTTTTTTTTTCCCCCTTCTCCCTCCTTTTGGATTTGGTGTTGATTGGAAAACATGAAAACCAATGGATGGATGCTTAGATACTAGTACAAATCTATGGGGATGCTTCAACTTGAGGCAGGCTTACCTGGTGGGGAATTGGAATGTTTTTCCTTTCTTTATTCAGAGAGAAATATTGAAATTTGTCTTGTTCGTTTTGCCAAACTTTAAACACCCTCCCCACTTGTGCATTCACTGCATTRGTTAATCAGAGGACTCCGTTAGCACCTGTAGTCATTTCTGATCTGCAAAATATAACAACGGGAAATTTTAAGGAAAAAAATGWATTTGGTTAGTCTTTAAAATGTATTGATTTCAAATTACAGAAGCAGAGTTATTTCTATTAGAGCAGTAACCCTGAGAAGTTGGTCTCTGAATGGATGAATATGTATTCATTTAGAAGTTTGCACATATGTCCGGAGTGAATTGGTTGGAATAGAAGGAACAGTGTGGGATGGGGGTGAGGTCCTCATTCTGGTGCCTCGTCCAGCTTGGGTGTTGGTTGGCCTGTGTCCGTGGAGGAGGCCACARGCATTTCACTTGTCAAGTTCTGAGAGTCCTTAAACCTAGCCACGTGTCAAACTAGAGTGATGGTTCCACAGGGGMAAGACCACCCTCTCACTGAGAGCTCAGTGAGGCTCTGAGACTTGGGTCTGATCCATGAAGTACTCAGAGCACTGAGTCAAGATCAAAGGTCCTAGTTACATTTCCTCCCTGGAATTACAGCTTGGCTGATGATTTCTTCTGCAGGTGAGAGTGGTTTCCCAGMGGRTGCTTGGCTTGTACAACCAGAGAACAGGATTCTTCTCTTCTTTCTGGCCACTCAATGCCTATGTGCACTCCACGTTCCAAAGAGGGAAGAAGGGCGAAGCTTCTTGGATGACAATGGACGTTCTACTGTGCAGGATGAGGGCAGAGTGTGTGACATCGCCACCACAAGGGTAAGAGTTGCCTTTCTCCGTCATTGTCTCTGACACCCATTATTATCAGAGAAAGAGGGGAATGAATCTTAGAGTATCGTGGCAAAGATGAAGGCTAGACACAGGGGGGCCATTCTGGTTGGAAATTCCACTGGATGGTTGGGATGAACAGCTAAAGGAGAAAGAGCATAGTTCCAGAAACATTAGGGGGGAGTTGTGTTGACAGACACCTCAGGCCACCTTTTGGAAGGTGTCTAGTACAYATTCAGCCCCCTTCTCTTTGTTTGTAATTTATACACATAGAAGTAACACTACAGTTATTGTGAAAAAATTCCATTTGTGTCCTTTTGAGTCAGTTTGGCTTAAAATGGATGCTGTGGAGCTGGAACTGGTGCAAATCTGGCTCAGGTCACAGTGGGTGGTTTATGGAAATACTGGCCCAAGGCTCAGTTTGTTTGAGACATATAATGTTTAAAACATGCTGGATCGATTCTAATTACACTTGAGATATTCCACATAAAAATTAGCATTTCTCTGCTCTCCAGGAACATGGAATGATAAGTCTACACTGGGCCTCTGTCCCCAAGAAAGACTGCAGTGCTATGTAGCCTCTGCCTCTTACACAAGTAAGGACAGTCCACCCACCAGCCCCTCTGTTTGCTCGACTTACTCGTTTGGTCAGTGAAGATGCTGACTTTTGCAATGCCTGGATCTTTCTGCTCAGTCTTAGCTGGATTTTCCCTTTGCTTTTGTCAGTTCCTCCAGGGTAACATGAGTATTTTTCACTAGATTATGGGCAACAGATAGCATAAGGAACTGTAGCCGTAGAGAGGACAGTAGATGATCCCTTCTGAGAAGGAGCTTGGGGTTTAGAGTGAGCAGCTGTCAGAAGTGTGCAGAGCAGGGAGGAATGCAGAGARCACTATAACGGCTGTGAAAAGTGCTGGTATAAAGGTGTGCGTTAGAGGCAGTGAGAGACGAGTAACGCAGGGGAGATGGGGAGGGAGAGCTGCTGATTTATCCCCTGTGCATCTGAGTTCTCACCTCCCTTCCCTGAGCACCAGGGTTTTGCAAACAGACCTTTGTATGTGTGTTACTCCAAGTAACATGGTTCAGTTGGAGAAGTGCTGGGGTATTTACACAGGTTAGAGGCCTCTCTTGGAGAAAAGTCCACATTTCACTGGTTGATCAAAGCTATGATCTGCGATGCTTTGCCTGTTACAAGTAGGACAGCTCTCTGACTATGTGGCTTGCTAAGTCACTCGGCCTTCTGAGTGGCTCTCTATTTGTACTTGCAGTGTAAAGTAGATCCCTGGAGTTTCCAGAGAGGAGCGGTCACTAAATAGAGACCCAGCAGGAATGAACACAACTTTTAATAGGATTGTACCAGGTAGCAGGAGGAAGAGAGTTCATTTTGTTTAACTCAGTGTTTAAAAGGTGAGTTCAGGTTAGGATTGCTGTAAAGTAGGGTGACCTTGGGGGCCAGAGACTGTGCCAACAGTGTGTTGTCAGCTGTGGCCCATGCTGGGAGAACATGCCAAATGCAGAACGGGCCTGGGGGGAGTTTCCTTGTCTGACTGAGTGCTGAGATAGACATTTACATAAAGGCCTCTTCCGTGGGCTAGGCTGAGCCACGTCAAAAGCTCTTGGAGGGAAGGGCTTCATGCAGGACCTTGGAAGGCCCAGGTGATGCTGACCCCTGGGCACAAAGACTTAAATTCAGAAGGTTCTTTGAAGATTTCTGTCTTCTATTTTGGCTCTGGACTTGTCCATCTAAATGCCTCACAAATATTTATTTCTCAGAATAATACTATTTAGCTGCTGTGAAGTTGCTGACTCATGAGGTAAGAATTCAGGTGTCTCCATTTCTAGATCCACAGCCAGGGTGCCCAGTGCCACTGCATTTAGTCACACTCTTTGCTCTTCCTGATCCATCACTGATTTMTGATCTTTTTTTTTTWAATTTTTTTGTAGTTATTTTATTTGTTTATTTTTATGTTATTTTTATTTGTTTATTTTTATGTTGTGCTGAGGATCGAACCCAGGGCCTCACACATGCTAAGTAAGCACTCTATCACTGAGCTACAGCCTCAGCCCCTGATTTTCTGTTTTTTATATATCACCCAAACAGGGATATGGGGAGCCTACTGCAAAAGAAGACTATCAGTGGGCGAGGCCCCTGGTGTGAGGTCCTGAGGAGGAGACACTGGTGTGAATCAGACTGAATTTAGATTTTCAGTTGATTAGACTTTCTTGGTTTTCTATGGTATATTCTCACTTGGTGTTGTTAATCTCGTTTCTATTACTATAAAAATATCTGAGGCTAAGTAATTTGTAAAGAAAAGAGGTTTATTTAATTCAGTTTTGAAGTTGAAAGTTCAAACAGCATGGTTGGCCCTGCTGGCTGCATTGTACCATGGAGGTGAGGAGACATCGTGTAGTGAAATCAGGAAGTCAGAAAGAACAATGCAAGGGTCAGGCTTTCTCTTTGCAACAACTTTCTTTCATGAAAACCTATTCAGGGTCCCACAAGAACGACCTGAATCCCTTCCCAGGTCAGATCCTTCAGTGACCTGAACAATCCCCAGTAGGCCCCACCTCTTAAGGGTCCCACCATCTCTCAGCATTGCCACACTGGGGACAGAGCTTCTAACACTTGAACCCGTAGGGGACAAAGCCCTTTCACACCGTAGCACATKGTGTAGTCAGGAATTGAAGTTAGCAAGGCCGACTTTTAAAAATCAAGATGATTCCTTTTTTGCACTTAATATAATGAAATGAAACTCTTAAAAGAATGTTCTAATGCTGAAAATGGCCTGGTTTTGCCTCTGATGAAATGACTAATATAGATTTTTTTTTGAACAAGTGAAAGGAAAAAGGTATTTAGGATTTTATTCATTTTTATGGAATTGATTTTAAAAAATGTTTCTGTCCAATAAGCAAAACTGTCATGTATTATTATACTTTTTTTGCTGAACAAAGCAAGCATTATGAAAGACAGTCATGCATGTGTGTATAGGTATATGTGTCAGCTTTGAAAACACAGTATCTAGAGTATTTTTTAAGTGAATTTGAGCGTATAAAGCAAAGATAGCAGAAAGTTGACTAAGAAGAGAAAAATAGGGATTAATGTTTTTGAAGATTTCATAGGGCAGATAGAAGTGAATCAATGTAGGTTTTTTTTCCCCTCTTCTTTTCAATCTAACAAACACAAAGAGAGAGAAAGTGACCAAATATTGTATGTAGTATTATCACCCTGAGTGATTTGGGTTGAAGGTAGATAGGAAAATCAATAGTGCGTCTAAGCTTTTCCTTTGGAAGAACATGAAAATAATGATTTGTCCTTCTACATTGTGGCTAAATGTCCACAGATATAMCTAATTTGAGAAGGCACGGGTCCTCAGGATGCTAGTACCCACACACCTACAGAAGGGATAACATTCTTTATTGAGGATGGCAAATTAGAACATAAGATGGTGTACTTCTTCCCACTTAAAAAAAAAAGTTAAGTACTCCTATTTGGGACAGAGTAATAACAGTCTTGCTCATAAAAACTGGATCATGTTGGCCAGACTGAGCCTCAGATTTCTTCATTTGCAATATGGGGTCAATGATCTACTTGTCAGGTTGGCTGCATTTGGCTATTATGAATAATGTTATTATGRATACTAGTTTCATGCTTTTTGTTTAAACACATATTCATAAAGGAAATGATTCATTTATTCAGTTAGTGCCTGAATAGTCATTGCCTACGAGTGTCCAGGTACGGCACCAGTTGATGGGAATAAAAGGTTGGACAATAGTGTAGATGAAAGCACTTTCCATGGTATGTGGCCTGAAAAAGGTGCTTAGTAAATTTTTCTTAAATCCTTTTCAGTGGAGAATTTTAATGTGCATAGAAATAGAATAATACATTCAATTTCTGTGTACCCTTTACCCTGCTACCATGACAATTAATGCATGGCCATCTTGTCTGATCAGTGTCCTTGGTTTCTCCATGTATTATAAAAATGATCCCAAATGCTGCATAATGTTTTACATAAATATTTTAGTATATATTTACAAAAAATAAGGACTCCCTTTTAAGAACATAATTGCAATACCATTAAGACACTGAAAAATTAATAACAATTCTTTTATATTATGAAGTGTCTACTTGGTGTTTGAATGCCCCTGACTTTTATATATACTTGTGCATTTGGCTTATTAGAATTGGGATCCATACAAAGCCTATGTGTTGGTTCTAGTTAAGTGTCTCTTAAATAGACTTGACCCCTGTCATTCACCCTTAATGGTTTCCTACAGTCTGAATTTTGCTGAATGCATCCCATTGGTGACATGAAGAGGGTCCTCTAAAATCTTTTATTTTATTTCAGCTGGAAGTTAGGTCTAAAGGTTTAATAAAATTTACGTCATTTCTTTTGACTGCCGTATTGCAGACTTATATGTGTACTTCTATCGGGGGACATGCAGTCTGATCTCCTTCTGTTACATAGGTCGTGCAGGAGGTCAGATATCATCAGCTTTTAAGTTGGGTTTTGGCAGCCACTGATGACCATTGCCTAGATCTGTTATTTCATGATGAGTTGCAAAATAGTGAGATTTTAATTCTATTATTATTTTATTCAACAGCTGAAACTCTTTTTTATGACTTTTTTAAATTGAGATGTACTTCATATCATAGTAAAGTCTACTTTAAAAAAATGTATAATTTGGTGGTTCTTAGTCTATTCACAAGGTTGTGCAACCATTTTTATACAGAATATTTTTGACATTTCCCAAAGAAATATATACCCGTTAGCAATCCCCATTTTTTCTTCCCCCCAACCTCTAGTAATCACCAATATGCTTCCCATCTCTACAGTTTTGCTTATTGTGAGTATTTCATGTACAGTTATGTTACACATATTTCAGTCATTGATGCACCACATATACAACAGTGGTCCCATTAGATTGTGTCTCATAGCTGTCTTACTTGGTATAAACAGCCTCTATGATGTTTGCACAATGACAAAGTAGCCTAATGACATGTTTCTCAGAMCTATCCCCATTGTTAAGCAACATGTGGCAGTAAATGGAATCATACAACATGTGACTTTTATTCATCTCGCTTCTTTCATTAGCATAATATTTTCAGGTTGATTCATGTCGATACCTATAGTATGTATCAGAACTTCATTTTTTTATGATCAATAATAGTTCACTGTGTGGATATACCACATTTATTTATGTACTAATCAACTGATGGGCCTTTGGATTATTTCCTCTTTTTGGCTATTATGAATAATGTTATTATGAACATTAGTTTTGTGCACTTGTTTTTTTTTTGTTGTTGTTTGTTTGTTTGTTTTGTACTAGAGATTCAACTCAGGGCCACATCCCTTGCCCTTTTTTGTATTTTATTTAAAGACAGAGTCTCACTGAGTTGCTAAGCACCTCACCATTGCTGGGGCTGGCTTTGAACTCTTGATCCACCTGACTCAGCCTCCTGAGCCACTGGGATTATAGGTGTGTGCCACCACGCCTGACGTGCATTTGTTTAAACACAGATTTTTCAACTATCTTAGTAACTATCACAGATTTTCAACTATCTACGAGTGGAATTGCTGGATCACATCATAGCCCTAT